GTTTTCCATCTATGTAGCTTAGTTTTAATGCCACGAACATTCTGGTAAAATATACTAAACGCAGCCACTGCTCTCGCACGAGGAGAATAGTTCGTTGCGGTAGTTCCGCTATTATTCGGCCTTTGGAAGTTGCTTCGCCTGTTCATTGGTGCGAAGTCGACGAAAGGTGATCCATGGCTTGATCCGTGCATTTTCTGGCCAAATCGCCGGTGAAAGAATACGGTCGTAATAGGCTATTGGTACCGCCAGTTTGTATGACCTATATCTGCCCTTAGTTTTCACTTCATCAACGACACATTTTGCCAGAGGACACAGTTGCTGCAAATAAGCTGTATAATATGTTACTCTCACTCAAATCTACCCTAGCATTATGTCAGTCAATTTTATCCAGTACCTCCAGTACTGTATTACTTCTTGGAGTGGCGCATCAAAAACTATAATACTTCCTCTAGAACGTGCCCATAGAGCCATCCTGAAAGTCGCATTTTCCCATCCTTTTCTCTTTCCTGATAGCATTTACATAAGTAAATCCTGCAAAGTTTTAACTGTTCGCCAAATGTATACAGTACAACTAATACTCAAATAGCATTCACTACTCAGATTCAATACTAGAGGTAATAATTTTACTAACAAAAGAGTGAATGAACATACGTTTATAAAAAGATACTTTATCTGTCTTGGCCCATTTTTATACAATAGAATAATACACCAAATAAACATTTATTATTATTTTAATTAGTATAATTACTAACTCGAACTTGTAGTCCATTTGCTTTTCATCAGACGTTGACCACGTTGCACCATTATTGGGGATGAAAAGTTTATCCGCGCGCCTCTAGTGCCGAAATTTAGAAGTTGTCTAAGAACGACACTTTGTAGATCACGACTACATACGGAAACCTGTTTTTAATAAAAGCAGAAAAAACAAAATGTTGTTATTTATTTCCAAAAGACAAAATTATGAATCAAATATCTTCCTGATGGAAAGAGAAAAGATCAGCTAAAGCAATTAACCCTTTCAGATTTACTCAGGTGTGCATTGCATTTAACTATAGCATTGAATTGAACTTTTAGAAACATTGGTGACTTGTGTTAGCTAACAAACAAGAAAACGTTATATATGAAACACAGAGCTATTTTAACAATGCTATGATTTATACAAAATATGTCATTTAGAGCCATTGGTCTTTTGTTTGGTAGGTATAAATAGGCAGACATATTCTAATTATTTGAATAATAATATGTGCCCCATGTTGAGTAAAGTAGGTACTCAAAGTTGTTATTCATAAAACATTTCAGATGGTGGCAGCTGGCGAGTGGTCTCTCGTCACGCGATACTCTAAGAGTGTTGTTGAAGGAGCTTGGCCCAGCTGCAGAAAGTGACCATCTTGAACACTTTGATGGACTTGTAAGGCAACATTCTTCACTAAACTCAATTATTATTCTCTTACATTTTAAAACAACACACAGGCGACATCACGTTAAATGTACCTAATCAAGTAAGCCCTGCGCTGAACGATTTCTTAGTTTTGAGTTATACTTAGGTACTTGTATTTTTCTGTACTTAGGGTACGGATCCAGTCATTCCCCCATACCTCCGATATGAGGGCAAGGTGCGGAACCTGCGCCTGTCACGACGAGAGATCAGCGTCATCATCAACGACATCTGGATTGGAAAAATAGACTGCCAGGATATGCCCATGCAGGACTATGTTACTAAGTACTTTGAGGACAGGTGCGTCAGGCAGCACCTTCAGTAATCTAGACTAAGCGTACAGTTGTTAGTTGTCCTAGTCTGCACAGGACCCCAAACAAGTACCTATAAGCTCTAACGTAACCGCGTCTGTTTTTCAGTTAAAGATGAATTGTAATTTATTTTAGAATCCGAGTAGGTATTTCTATATTGGGTAAAATCAGGTATCAGCAGGCATCGGTGCGCGCGGAGTGGGCGTACAACGTGTGCGCAGGTGCGGAGCAGATGCTAGACGAGCCGCAGGTGAAACTGTTCTGGGGCGTGCTGCACGGTCACCTCAGCGAGCGCATCTACTGGGGCCACCGCGCGCACTGGCTCGCACTCAAACACAACCTATACAAGCGCTCCAAGGACCAGGAGGTAGCGCTGTCTCTTGTTTTCCTTTTTAACATTAATACACCCACCTAGTGTCCTAGCCATTGTCTTACAATAAAAACTAGAATAGGTATGGATGAAAAACGCCGCCGCTGGTTGGTAGTTCAACGCCCATTCCATAAGCAGTTCACTTTGGATTTTGACTATACATGCACCGATAACTGTACAGTTTAATCAATATACACGCTAGGGCTTGCCTGTCGGTTATGCATGCGCGGCTAAAACCATCATGCAAAACCTATCGTGTATGGCCTCCTTTACATTACAATTCAAATCAAACATTACCTAACATGCTTACTTTTAAAAATTAAAAGATAACTCCAATCTGTTTATTTCAACAGACCATTTCCATTGAAGAATTCGAGAAAATTGCAAAGTCAACGTTCCCGTTAAAGAGTGAAGTGGACATCAAGAATCTAATGGACGTGGTGCGCAAGCAACTCAAGCTGAAGATCAACAGCAACGACATCAATTTGGACAAACTGTTTCAAGAGGTCGCTGCTTCTTACTGCTTACCTACTTGTTTATGGGAGGGGCCGGCAAACGAGCAGGCGGGTCACCTGATAGTAGGCAATCGGCGCCGCCAATGGACCATCGCACGCAACATCAGAAAAGTCACAAATTCGTTGCCGGCCTCTTGGGGTTTTTTTTTTTTAAGGGGGGAAAATCATCGAATGACTGCTTCCGCCTGGGTGAGGCGGGAGGGAGTGTCAGACTCTTACTGACTAAAAACCACCCTGTTCCTTCCCTGCACGTCGAGCCTCTTGGGGATTGGCACAGATATAATAAAGAAGGATTGGGGATGGGAAGAGGATTGAAACACCCGGTTATCTCACTCACACAGCTAAACACAACGCAAGCTTTGTTGCGTTGGTAGAGAATGTGTTAATATTAATGTCATTGTTGACCTACTAGAATGAAGAAGGATTCGACCGCGTGGAGTTCGCGCGCGAGTTGTTCCGGCAGCGGCAGGTCGCGCAGGACAAGTACATCCGCGAGGTGGTGGCCGAGCTCGGGGGCAAGCACGCCACAAACGCCGTCACCGTAGACAACCTCAAGCGCGCGTTTGCCATCGTCGACCCTGCCATAGGTAACTGCTCTCCAGTTACCAATCGTAGTAGATATTTATAACCGTTTGGTCTTTGAGGCCTTTGTTCAGCAGTGGGCTCTAGGACACTATTATACTGTTAATGTATGATCATGTTGATGAAGTGTACGTGTATAGCTGTACCCTATGTACTTCAATTATTATTTTAATTTTATTAATTAATCATACTAGATCACATCAGGATGGAGCGTTATATCCGTTGGGCGTTTTCGGATCCAACGAGTGATATGAACAGCATTCCTCCGATTCCTTTGAGAACATTGACTACTAGATTAGCCGCTGGAGACATAGAACGCATTGGACCAAGGTACCGCGGCACGCAGCGCAGAACTACTTACAAATAATATTTCGACAGTACTTTATAGATATGTACCTAGTTAGTACCTACTTACCTACATTGTACCTACTTGCACCACTCTTAATAATTTTTGTTCCATCTTATTATCTCAAGTATATCGTGCTAGGAAAAAATTGTTCTATTCCGGATATCCGTATGCGCGGATATCTTACTTTTATTGCGAAACTTTTACGGATCTTTCGATCACCTTTCATTCTCAATAGATAAATCGTATGCTATAGGGTGGGTTAAGTAGAATATTAAATAATCTATTAAATTCTATTCAGGGTATTATTTAAATATTACTTTGATAGGTATATAAAAATGTACCGTAGTAACATGATAAGCCCACAGAAATATTATAGATATCTATTGGCTATGTGTAAAGCGAGCAGTGGCGGACAAATAACGACCGCAGCGCACAACATGGCAGAAATTCGAAACAAATGCGGATGATGCAAACCCGGGTTTTTATTATTATATTCATTTTACATTAAAACTATTGAATAAATTGCACTTAAATAATGTCAACAATACTATTCATACTTTGGTTTTATTTATATTTGCCAAGAAAATTATAATATTTACATTGTTATTATTTGAAAGCTTCCGCAAATGTTGTAAACGCTACGCGTCGCCACCGTCGCGCACATAGCCAATAGAGGTCTATAGATACGCCTATCGTGGCACCGTGTGTGTCGTCACACTGATATGATATGTTATATTTATAAATCTATGGTGTCGTCATCTTCTTAAAAACTGCCCATAGACAATAATTTGTAATCTGTAATGAATCTCCATGAGGTCGCCATCTCCAGTCCTGAGTCCACTTATAACCAGTCTAGAGTACACTCCATAGCTATTTATTATTCATCTAAGCTCCATAGAGTGTCGCGGAGAACCTAACGGGTTACCGGGGCTCCGGCTCGACGTTCAGGAGAAGGAACGGGGTGGTTTTTAGTCAGTAAGAGTCTGACACTCCCTCCCGCCTCACCCAAGCGGGAGCAGTCATTCGATGATTTCCCCCCCTTAAAAAAAAATGCTCCATAGAGTCGTCCTGTTTCATTCGTGTTTGTCAATGTCAAAGTCAAATCAATTCTCTTGTGTCAAATACACATAACCTAAAATATTGTTTATTTACACTACTTCACCATAGAAATAGTAACCTCAAACTAACTTCGAGTAACCATAAAATGGGGGATATAATTGATAATGAGGAAATCGATAGAGATACAGTAGAGCCGGAAGCTTTAGAACAACACTTCCGCAAAAAATATAAGCTGCTAACAGAGTGTGCGGTCACACTTAAAAAATCCTATATTAACAAATTACATGCGACAAAGTAAGTACATTTTTCTTAGAATGTGAATAACTATGATACACTGATTATTTGTTTGCATACACTAAAGATTGTTATCCTAACGAACTTACAGATCATTGAAACTTGCAGTTAGTCTGTCTGATAATAGCATAGAGGTTTACCAACTGAACAACACATCTCTCACCAAAATATGTAAACTAAGTGGGCATGATAAGTCACTCACAGAAGTGGTTTGTGATCCGAAGGAGGATCATCTACTATATTCGGCTGCACAGGATGGACTAGTGAAACTCTGGGATACCCGGACCAGCGGCTCTTGTGTACAAGAGTACAAAGGTTGGTGACATTGAAATAAAACACTTTCATGTGGTCAACTGGAGTAATGTGTTTATTTACTTATTTATGCAGACGAAGAGGAAGAGCTAGTGAGACCATATGAATGCATGGACATTTCCTGTAATGGAAGAGTGTTGTGTGCTGGCAGCCAGCTGGTGGAGGATGATGCATACTTAGTGTTTTGGGATAATCGAGTCACCAAGCCACTGGGTGGATACTGGAATTCCCACACTGATGACATTACACAGGTGATCCATTCTTACTTAATCTCTTAACTGCCAGTATATAAGACACTATAGAACACACATTGTGGCTTGTGTGGATCGGTTTTCCAGCACACTACGGGTTAACCTTAACCTAGTTATGTCTTATGGCAGATGTCTTACAGAGACTATGCCGGTAGCTCACCCAGGTAGCATTTTATCTATATTATTTGTTTGTTTTAAACGGAATAAATTTATGTTATAGGTAAAATTCCACAAGTCACAAACTGAAATACTAGCCACAGGGTCATTGGATGGTCTAATAAATATATTCAATGTGATGGAACTGAGTGAAGATGATGCCCTAACATACTCTCTGAATGTAGAGAACTCTGTAGAGAAGTTGAGCTGGCTAGATGAGAAGCAGGTGGCTTGTATCACTCAGTCTAATGACCTGCAGTTCTGGGACACTGAAAGTGGGGACTTGCTGCGAACCTTCACTAGAGATAAAATATCTAGGAGTATAAAGGTGAGATGCAGATAAAATCACACCAGATTTTCTAACATTAATGTAAGCACAGACTGCCTTGGCCTGCAATCATACCCGGCCTATAATGTTAATTAAACTATGAAATCACTCTGTACAATAAGCAGGGCTAAAAAAACAATGTAAATTAAGTACTTTGCTGTTTTACTGAAAATTTATTATGACTAATATTAATGCATAGCAATTTCTTCTGATATACATCCACAGAGAAGTAAAGCAGATGACTGTTATTTGGTAGACACATACAGTTCAATAGACGACACTACAGTGGTACTAGCAGGCTCTTACGGGGGGAACGGGTAAGATACATTCCAAATTCCAATATTATTTCAATGACTTAGAAAGAAAGAAAGAAGTGCTTGTTCAAGTAGGACGCGCGGCCGTGGTACACATTGCAAGTTTGTGTTCATGTTAGCTGCCAGGGCTGAAAAGTTTGATTGTTTGAATGTGCTACATCGTGTCGTACGTACACACGTAAAGCCGTGGGGAAAAGTTGTAAGACAATATCTGTACAGACACGTGCTGCGCTCGGCGGCGGCGGCGGCGGGCGGCAGACTGCAGCCCGCCGCGCACTTCGCCGCCAACCGACAGACCGTCAGCTGCAGCCACTACGACAAGGACGTGAGTATCCGCCACTGTGTCACATGTTAGCGTGGACATGACTCATGACGTCATCTTGTGCTTCCTCAGCGCGACATGTTGGTGACTGCGGGCGAGGCGGCCATTATCTCGGTGTGGATCGGAAGTGAGGCTGCAGAAAATGAAACTACTTTTGGGAAAATATCTCAGTCCATGAACAAGCTTCATATGAATAGGCACAAGCCCTACTGACGTTATTACTGATTACGACTGAAATAAAGTATTTGTAACAATAAAACACGTAATATTAATATTGTCCCACCCAGGTAAAGAACTGCATGGCAACTACATTTTAAACCTAATTGCTGAACCGACTCGCTCACCAGTTATTCTGTATTCATACTTGTATTTATAATACTACTAGCTGTTGCCCGCGACTTCGTCCGCGTAGAATAATGACTTCTGGCAGAATTTAGGCTTTTGAATTAGTTTTTATCAAGGGATATTCTACGGTAATGGATGTCGTCAGAATTGATTCAGTCCCGTAGATGATAGCGTGATAATATGTAGCCAATATGTTTACCAGACTTGTTAGTAATATTCATGCAAAATTTGAAATAGTAGTGCAGTACTTTTTGAGATCATCACGGCCATACATACAGACAAACAGACAAAAATTCTAAAAACCACATTATTGGCTTCGGTATCGATTAGAGATCACGCTTCAAATATTCTTTTAAAAAATATTCAATGTACAGTTTTGACTTTTCTACGATTTATTATATGTGTAGATAGCTGTTGCCCGCGACTTCGTCCGCGTAGATTAATGACTTCTGACAGAATTAACCAGAATCAATTCAGTGCCCAAGTAAGATTTACCTATTTTGAAATGATTTATCGTAGTTTCAATAAATAAATAATCCCGCAGGGATCTTACCAGTACAGTGCCCGATCACGTAAGGTTTGAGTAATAAAAACTATTCTATCGACTATTGTTGTACCGAATCTCTCTAGAATAAGTTCAGTGGTTAAGAGTTAGAGAGTCCTGGGGCATTGACGCATAGTTCCCGTTCTCGTGAGACATCTGTGAAAAAACTATCATACGTTACCCAGGTCCCAAATCATCGTTTTACCGAATGTAATTCAAAAAGATTCAATGATTCTAAATTCAACGGCTAAGAAGATTTATACAAACTCTCATTCCCTATTTTATCCCCTTAGGGGTGGAATTTATCAAAATCCTTTCTAAAGAGATACCTATGTCATAGTAACTTTATGCATGCAAAGTCTCAGCCCGATCAATTTAAAACTGGCAAAGTATCATACTTTGGGGTGAGAATGTTCAAAAACCTTTCTAAAGGGACGTTTACGTCATAATATCCATCTGCACGCCGAATTTCAACCCGATCGGTGTAAAACTGACAAAGCCTCACACAAACGTTCATCCCCTATTTTACCCCCTTGGTGGAAATTATCAAAATCCTTTCAAAGCGGATGCTTACGTCATAACATCTATCTGCATGCCAAATTTCAACCTGATCGGTTTAAAACTGACAAAGGCTCATATAAACTTTCATCCCCTATTTTACCCACTTGGGGGTGGAAATTATCAAAATCCTTTCACAGCGGACGCCTACGTCGTAACATCTATCTGCATGCCAAATTACAACCCGATCGGTTTAAAACTGACAAAGGCTCATA